TTTTTTCGCTTAATGGAAGTGGTTACTTATAAAATATTTTGCATGGTTATGTTGGCATGTGTCTCCTACTTTGTTTTGAATGCCTTAAATGGTCTGTATATATAAAATATTGTTCAGTTGTCTTCAAAAAAACCAAATTAGGCATGGGCTTTAATGACTAAGTATAGTTCTGTGTTTATAACTGATTCAAGGTATCTGCATACAATAAAAAAACAATCTGGAGTTTTAACTGTGGGTTTACATCTTACATCTCAGTTTACTGAGACCTCTTACAGGCCATATTTTACAGTATTTTTATGTGAATTGAAAAATGTTTTATGTCCAAAGCAGGAGCTTATTGCATGATTATTTTTTTTCATTTCATTCTGGCTAACCATTATTTTAAGTCAAAGTAATGTAACGGTTTCTTATGATGGTTGATTTTTTTTCTTCAGTTAATGTGCTCAACAAATAAGTCTTATTCTTTAGCGTAATTTAATTTAATGCATAAATAGTACCATATATAATGTCATCTTCAGCCCCATTCATTCAACTTGTCTTATATACAGAAGGAGAAGGGTTAAGGATTATAGGTACCTGTCAATACTTTGATTGTTGATTTTATATTTGCTCTGTTTGTATAGTATGTGTATGGTTTTGAGGGTATAGGAATGCTTCCTTAGCTTCTGTTATGATTTTTCTTTTTGAAATTTACTGACAGCAGTACAATAATAAAGTATGAATGACTAACATTCTTTGTATATGACAAGTAAAACAATGTAGGATGCAGAATGTAATGAAATTACTATTGACAATTCTATATCTATCCTGTATAATGTCATACAGTATATTAACTTATCACACAATCTTGCGTTCTTATGCTTAAGTACGGTCACTGTAACACTGCCCTTTGAGAGGGACTTTTATTGAGAATCTTTTACTGAAATGTCTAAGACACAGAAAAAACACTTGCAAGAGGAATGCATTTGCATGATTACAGTTTTTATTGAAATATGGGCAAATATTCACAAGCCGGCAAATACGTTATGGGAATGCATTCAAATACTGTTATACTAAATTCAAAATACATATATTTGGGTATAAAAGACATATTTTAAATACAAATTTAACAAGCAAGCATAGAGCGAAAAAAGCATTAATACAGCTATATATTTATAATATGCTTGTATTTAAGCTCAGTAATACAAAATAAAAAGGCAGACTGTAGGGTTTGTAGATGTTAAGCATTAAATAAAATCTTCATTGTAGATGATGTGAAATGATAATGCCGAATGTTTTCAGTCTTGAAGTAACATGCATAAACATCCTCTACTCCAGACTCCCTTTTGGCTCTTATCCAAACCGATTACACAACATATTCTCTGAAGGTCAGATCATAATGTGTGAATTTTAATAAAGTCTAGTCCAATGTGTTTCAGGTTCAAGTGTTTTTGTGTTTGGAACAGTCAGACTTAAAGAAAAAGATTACATCAGGTTAATGTTAAAGAGGAAAAAAATAAAAGTAGAAAACAATGAAATGTCTGGATAGTCATCTTTGTATTTATTCGTGTTTCTTTAGCAGGAACTTTTATCCAAACCGACATGCCAGTAAGGAGAGCGGCCCTCCTGCACTTGGGGTTGAGCCGTGCTGTAGGGCCCAGTGGTGATTTTATTATTCTCCTGTTTGCTGGCTTGTACCCAAAACCTCCATACATGGACACAAACCCAAGCTCCACGCCTTCGTTATTGTGAGACATTCTTGTTAGGTGCCGATTTAAAGGTTCGTTTTCACTTGTATGCTTCTCTTTTCTGTGACATTTTCACACACTGAAATGGAAACCAAAACATTTTTAAAATGTTGCCACTGTGCTCACTGCAGTGTTCATCGTTAGCTCATGCATTATCCACTTATAAATCTTATCGGTTTCCTGTTCAGTGTTGTGAACCAAATGTCCCAAATCTACTCACTGCTAGACTGCTGGCTTCTGAATAAATGATGCATTCTATTAAAGATTATGGATGTCAAGACCCATTTTAATATTAAGGAATACTAAAAAGTAGGGCAAATTTTTCAAATGACTATAATTTTTCTTTCCAAACAGAAATAGGTCAGATTTCTCAGATTCTTATACATTTTGTAGCATTTCTGTTTTGGATTATTTCCACGGTTTATGCTTTATGGTTTAGTGGGAACCCACCCACTTGCTCCATCACTTTGCACTGCTGAAATCATCATCTCTTAATTTTCAAGTGGCACAAACAGAATGTGCCACAATGCAAAAACAGTCACCATTTCGTAAGAACATCACATACTGCACCTTTGTGGAATCTCTTAGATTACGATCACTCTGACTTTGTAATGTTTTGTGGCTTTGTTAGTTGGTTTATTTTTTACCAGGTTTCTGTAATGTATTATCCCTTTGTTGTTGCTGTTAGAATGTATATTTTGGTAGGTAATGCTTTACAATAACTGAATCATCATAACATTTATTTTGCATTCATAAGAAGCATATTATATTCCTAAACATAATTGTTTAATGATATAAGAACTGTTATTAATATAGATTAAAGCTGTCAGGGTATTTAGGATCTTAAGGTATACTTACATGTTGCTTATGAATGTTCTATGAATGCATTATGAAGGTGCACTGAGTGGTCTACAAATGCATTATGAAGGTTTAGTTAATGTAAAGCATTACCCTTTGCTATGTTCTCTGAGGGTTGTTGTGATGTGTGTTGTGGTATTTTGTGAATATATTGTGACTTACTTGTGCAGTTTTCTGCCCAAACCCAAGGGCATTGGAGGAATACCATGACAGATTCAGGGGGCCCAGCACTTCGTAGGGCTCCAAATTCCCCCCCCCCCGAGTGAATGAAAGTGCCATCCCGGGCCGGGATGTCTAGCTACTCACCTAACCAATCCCATTAGAAGTTACTGCTATAATATTTCAGAATAAGCAGAGGCATTTTTAAATCTATGTTCCAGCATTTTTAAGAATTGACTCAAGGGCACATGAATGCATTTCTCAGAGACATTTAACACCCAATTCACCCTTTCTAAATACTGTTTTAAGAGGAACGATCACCCGCTCACAGACAGAGCCCTTGGTGTGGTTTGGGTACGCCTGGTTCAGGCAACTGGTTACTGCAGATATCGTCTCTGTCCTGACAAAAGATGCTTGACCTCTAACCACGTGATGATGTTCGATTTCAAGTCTGTGCAGAACTTTGCAGTCGTCTGAAGTTTGCAATGGCTAGTGAGGTTGTTCTTGGATCACAAACAAGACATGTATACTTGCATATTCATAACCTGCCCCATATCTGCATCAGTGCAAAATTTAGTAAAATCTTTAGTGGAGGTGGGGGCAATGACCCTGTGACAAAATGACACCCCCCATAGAAAAAAGCCCCCCCCCCCCCCCAAAAAAAATAAAATGTATGCTACGAATTATTACTATTATTATATTAACATTTATATACGAGGGCAAGTTAACGACAGAAAATAATAATGAAGCTTGTGGAAGCAAGACAGTCCAAACAAGAAATCAGAGTGAGTTACATATTTGTAAAAACTGTAAAATGTAACTGCATAATAGCATTGCAAGTAACTCATCTGTTTTCAAAATGGTCTTTTGCTTCTTAATGCTGGCAACCTAGTGTAATACTTAGAGGGCATTAAGGTCAACTGCATCTGGCCCCAGTCTGCCCCCCCCCCCCAGCTGAAATTGTCTAGAGCTGCCACTGATCCTTAGTAAGGTTTTTGAACGCATATTAGCCAAAAGCCCATTACAATCTAACATTTTAACAACCAATGCCTACCTACCATGCTGACCACAGCCTAATTATTCTGATTTTCTAATTTATCTATGTGACCAGGAATATAATCTAAGAAACGTGTGCATTTTGAGACACCCCCTTTATGACACGTGCAGAGGCACTTTTTCCATTTGAACATGTACTATCAAGCCAAGCACAGCCAGAACAGAAAAGCAACATAAGCTAATGCAGTCATCCAGGGAGCCAGTCCATGCAAACAGATTTTGTCACCAGCGTGGGCCAACATCCAGGCTCAATCTTGATAGTTGCACATAATACATTATTAATAAACTGAGTGATATTTTATCTTGTAATGATGCCAGTACAACCTTAAGGTAGTTCTGGGGCAGTCAGAAAAGTAACCAGTACTATTATAGCGAGTCCCACACATCAACTGCAAATGAGTAATGTTACATTTTTATGAAAATCCAACTCCTAGTTATTTTTTTCTTGTATGAAATTGGCTCCTACGTTCCAACAGAACAACGTCACAAGAGAGAGGCAGTACAATTTTAAATCCAAAGCTCTTCTTAATGGACTGAACCACTTTTTTTTTTTTTACGGCTGTCTTACATGTATTTAGACCAATGTAATTACAATAAACAGTAATTTCTTTCAACAAGGCTTTGTGTTCAGTAATTACAACTCCATTTCATTTGTAAATACATAGATTCCTGTCTTATAACAAACAATTTTCCACCGTCACTATACAAACATTTAACTGGCTGGACAAATTATCTGTCATATGATGATAATTACATTCTGAAGCTGTATTATGCTGTTCTCTACTGCATTATTATAAACAAGATACTGTAACTGCTGTCTCCAAGTAAGGGCTTTTGAAGCAGAACACTAAACACAGATCATGGAAACATTTCAAGGAAAAAAAATGAATTTAATATGAGAACATTTTCATTCACAGTGATAAAAATACAGGAATTGTAGTTTCTTTGGTATCTTTGGGAATGTTGTCTTTTAAAAAATGAATGTATTATGTGAGAATATTATCATTTAAAATCCCCATTTTGCCCATTTTCAGGAAATTGTAGGGCTATTCAGAATGAGCCTAACACACCACTTCCATTGTAACCATAGCAATGACATTCACTCCCTGCTCCCAGACCATCTGCCAGAAGTCCTGGCATGTGTTTGGCAAAGGCTCCTGTGTGGCAATGTAGTGGCAGTCAAACCCCCCCCCCCCCCGCATTACCTGGGCACAGACAGGCCGAGGAATACATAGAGAGAATATCAGCAGAAATGCCTTTGCACAGTCAAATCGCAAGTATTGAAGCTACATTGGTTTTTTAAATTTATTTTTCACTAACAGATGTTAGGTGTACTCAAGGTCTGCAGAGCTGTTTCATAACAGTGCCTCCTTAGTAGTTAACGAGCATGTGCAGATGCCATCTGCTGCAGAGGTTTCAGCTTCTTCTCTAGACTGTCCTCAGCCCATCCGCCAAGTGCACCGGGTCACGGTGACCCCCCGGGACCCAGCGGCATCCGCCTGTGCGTCACGCACCATGGGGCTATAGGCAGAGTCCACAGAGAACAAGCACAGCGCCGTACACGTGGCGGGCTGCTCCTCTGGCACCGCGCCTCGGCCCCAATGCCTTCTTTAGCGACCCGCGGCTCAGAATCTGTGCTTCTCTTTCCTTTGTGTACATCTCATTACATGATTGCTTCTTTTAATCTATGTGATATGATTTTTTTGCATGTATTTATAACAGTGTGGGACAAAAGGAGGGATATGTTTAGAAGCTGTTTCACATTTCAAAGCACAGGGAGAATCTGTCCTCTGTGAGTCAGACCATACCATGGAGAATAATTACCTCAGCTAAGGAGGACAAGGATGTGGGTGGGTTGGTGTATTTAAGAAGGCTTATACCTTTGCTCAATACGTCATTGCTCCTAATGTACCTATTTCCCCCTGCTGTGACTTCAAATGGTTTTTCATTGCATGTTGATGCCATTCTATCATTCCTTCCATTTTCTTCTCGTTTCTTAGTTTTAATGAGTGTGTTCTTATCCTACAATGAAAAACAATCCAAAAATAATATTATTTGGCACTGTGCTCGAGACAAAAAAAAATAAAAAATTCTGATGCAACTCCAATGATTTTGGTGACCATGGAAACATAGAAAGACTATTTCATTGAAAGTAACATCACTATCAATAAACTGCAAGGGAAATGTGCCATTTATTATAGATAACGGTAAGTTATTAAGGTGTTTTTTTTTAATAATACTGGACAGAATGAAAGCACTAATTAAGAAACTGAGTTACGGTATTAAGGTCTGCAGCTTCAGGTCTCAGGAGGTAAGCTGCAGGTGCAGCCTCAGGAAATATGCATCTGTGGAAATTTATGTTTTAGAAAAATTTATAATTACATTTCTTGATTTAAAAAGACCTAAGACTTTAGACCTGTATACTGTTACATTTATCAAAATTTTCCTTAATTAGTTTGTTTTTTCAAGTATGTTTTCAACATTGAGATTCAGTTAGGTTTGCTTGCATTCAGTCAAATTATTTGAATCACTAGAGGCTGAAATCATTTTGAAACACCTGCTGGGCTTGTATTAGTGATGCAGAGCATGTCTGTGTGGTCAGCATTTGAGTGAAGTCCCCGAGGTTTGGGATCCTTCTGTTGGCCAGAAACAGTAGTGCACAAAGTATTCAATAAACGTGTTCCTTATTTAAGAGATGTTCAAACAGAACATTTTGCTAACCAGCAAGCTAGCTACGATCTTTTGACTTGTGTTGACTTGCTAACTAACGTTAATGTGATGCATGACTGTAAAGTGATAACATCCCAGTGGCAACAAAAAAATAAAGCCAAAGGTAGGAAGTTTGATTTGCTCGCCAGTTTCTTCACCACAAGCAATAAAATGCACTTAAAAGTACAACAAACATGGTGGCAAGATCCCAAAAAAACTTGAAAGTACAACAAACATGGTGGCATGGTGGGGCCCCCGAAGTGACTTTCTTGAGTGGGGCCCCCGAAACAACAAACCCACCCCTGTGTGTGGTGTAAAATTTGTGAAACATGCACCATTTCCCTTTTCACTGTAGTAAACACGTGTAACCCGGGTTTAGCCCAGCTTATTCAAACCATGGTCTGTTCCTTTAAGTTAACAGGAGCGTGCTCCATAGCGTAGTCTGTGAGGGGACATACAGGCCATGCGGACGTGCAGTGCTGCATAGCTGGGCTAGAATTGCTAAGTCGCTCTGTGACTGGAGGAGATACTAGTCTGTTGGGTTCCCCCTCACACAGTAGGTGAGAGGGTGGGTCTGTGGGTGGCGAACAGCTCCCTGAGGGAGAGACAGGGTTAAGCAGCCAGAGAGTGGAGAAGGGAAGGAGCCACGCTGAGCTTGCCTGGCTGTTCTTCAGTAGTTACTGGGGACTGCGTTAGTAGGAGTCTATCCTGCCGTTAGGTAAAGGAGGGGCGATGCGCTTGGCGAGTGCGACTCCAGAAGAGACGCCAGGTTATTGAAGTTACACTGATGCTAGCGCGCATAGCGCGGCTAAATAGTTATTGCGCAGTTTTCTTTTTCCATTTTGTTTTTTGGTTTGGAGGAACTGTAATAGTTAGGAGTATTTATGGTTTGTGTTCCAAAAGCTCCGGCATAAAGGGGGAGGGTTTGAGATCTATATGAGTCACTGACGTGGGGATAGCAAGTGTTTCTCCGAAGGCCTGCAGCAACCGATACGCCATTTTACCAAATAGCACTGCATGGCTACTGGAAGAGCCCGCAGTTCCTCCGGCAACGCTGGATTGCTGCGGTACGGATTCACTGGACGTGTGACTTTCCAAGCTTCACTGGGGTTTTGTGAGTACGAGACTGTTGGATGCCCATTAGGGGTGAAGTAAAGCGCGCCAACACTATTGAGCGGTATTAATACCTTGGGAGGGGTATTTAACTGCGTAGCACGGGTTGATATTGCTCGATTGTAGGTGCTTGCACCGGTATCGGTAAATAGGCCTTTGGCCGAAATTTTTTTCCGATTTTTTTGGTGAGCTGACCCTGCAGACGTATCTTCCTCTGTTTTCATTTAAGATGCAGTGAATAGAATTGCAGCCGCTTTTGAGTTAAGTTGTTTATACCTTTCTGCGCAATTTGGCCTTGCCGGGAGCTCATTGTTTTTTTGGGTCAATAAAATTGGTTGTTTAATTGAAGTAGTACTAACTCTGTGCTACTCATTATTACCCTAACGTCCATTTACGTTTTAGAACTCAGGCAGGCCTGGTGGGGAGGGGCCAACACCAAAGAAGAGCTACACACACATCAGAGTTCTAAAAGCTCCTGTCAAACTTTGATGTGCAAAGCACTGATGTAGCCACCCCTCTCATCACTGCTGCGAAGCAGCCCTATGTGGTCGTTCCCATATGGAACTATGCGCAGGAACTGACTCCGCTGAGCATTGCCCGGTAGCAATGCCGTGATGGCCACCCTGTCGGCAGCCTTCTCCTGGATCTGATCAAGAGATTCTGCGGTGACCAGCTCCTCCTCCAGTCTCCTCTCCATGAACCGACACTGTTGTGCGCAGGGGAGCAACATGCAAAATTCCAGATCTTAGCGATTAGCCTATTGCTATGTACAGCATGCATTTTAATAAATTTTCTGCAGCAATGATAACCAGTTTAACTGGATTAATTGGTATTAACCTGTGAAGAATATAATCAAATCTTCCTCGGAAGTTCTTTTATAGCAGCCTTTAAAACTACATCCTAAAATAATAATGCTTTCCTGGCTCTGTGATTAGCACCTGCTGTCTCACATCTCCATGGTTGGGGGTTCTGCTTTTTGCTAACTAATTAGTACTAACTAATGTTCTTCCTCTCCTCTAGGTACCCTGTTTCTCCCTGCAGTCCAACGACATGCAGTTAGACTAACTGTTAGACTAATTTCCCAATGTGTATGACTGCATGTGTGTACGTACCCTGTGATAGACTGGCATTCCATCCAGACTGTACCCCAGCCTTGTGCCCTGTGCTGCCTGGGATTGGCTCCAGGCCCCCCTGTGACCCTGAATAGGATAAGAAATTAGAAGATGGATGGGTGCAATCCTTACACAAGCTTCATTAATTATGTTATTTATATATGCACCTACAGATACTGTTTTACACCAGCAGTTAACTCAGAGTTAGTGTAAACTGAGATCAACACTACTGAGGTTATTTCACCTTGTTTGCCAAGTGACTTCAGTTCCATTTCTCATTTAAACTGGAATGGCATCAAGGTTCCCATTTGTCAGTTCTTGTAAACATCAAGAATGTTAGTCATCTGTATTGTGCCATTTGGTACAATAAGAGCTTCAATACATGCATACTTGCATAAATACAAAAGTAAGGCTTCTTCAGTAATGATAAAAGACCTGGCATCAATCCCTACTGATATCATCAATATTTTCAAAGAGGAAAAAAACATAGTCTATATATGTAAATATAGCAACTGTGTCAGTATGTTTAATCGTGTCATTTCATTTTAGGAAATGATGGATGTGACACCACCTTGCACATGACTAATAGTATTGTTGCTTTTGCATGAATAGTGCATTGTGATTTCACAATTCACAGCTAGAGTGTCGCGGTCTTACCGGCTCGTCTATGAATGACACAGGAACAGGGTCAGCATGCTGGTTCTCAGAGCCTGGCAAGCCGGCTGCATAGAAGCAATTCTGGGATGCCATCCTCAAAGGCCTGTTCAGAGAGTCCATCTCCATTTTTTGCTTTTCCCGCGTCTGAATGAAAAAGGAAAAGGAACATAGTCACTGTAGTGAGCCACAAAATATCTTTTTTCCAAACTATGGAGTAGTGCCAGAATCTCATGTATTTTTTAATACTCAAAAATGTCATATATTAAATCAACGTTTTCCAACCCAACCCAGTCTTCGGGGACTATGTTTTTGCTCCCTCCCAGCTCCCTGCCAGACAGTCCACATTTTAGCTCCTTCCCAGCTCCCTGCCAGACAGTCCACATTTTAGCTTTTTCCCAGTTCCCTGCCAGCAGTCCACATTTTAGCTCCTTCCCCGCTCCCTGCCAGACAGTCCACATTTTAGCTTTTTCCCAGTTCCCTGCCAGCAGTCCACATTTTAGCTCCTTCCCAGCTCCCTGCCAGACAGTCCACATTTCAGCTCCTTCCCCGCTCCCTGCCAGACAGTCCACATTTTAGCTCCCTGCCAAACAGGAAGGCTGGAGAATCAGCAGTCCTCAGACCATTGTCTGTTAAATAAAGACCTGTGCCAGGGCCATGGGCAGGATTTTTTAAATACAGTGGTATCTCAGTACTCAAAATCATTAGAACTCAAATTTCTTAAAAGTCGAACCAACCAGTTTGAAAAAAATTTACCTAGAACTCGATCTGAATCTCAGAAGTTGAATCGTGAACACCAATCTAAGATAACTAAGATTACGTGTGGGGAAATGAGTCACGTGGCACGTCTCTCAGTGGAAACAAAGGGTAATGCTTCAGTCTCAGCCTTGCATTCGCTATGATAACATCATTTGTTAGTTGCTTTTTTTATTGAGAATATCAGACAATACACTGTACTTTATATCATTTTGGTAGCCATTGTTCACCAAAAAGTTACGGAATAGTTGTACAAATGTTACAAAAAGTTTTAGGTTTCATTTACGAACAAATTAACGAATACAGAGTAATAATAAAAATAAACAATGGACCGCATGGCATAGACTAGTGTTGGGGCATAGCTTGGGGTAGTGTTGGGGTACATTCTTTATCGTTTTGGAAGCCATTAAGAAAAAAATGTTACGCACAGCTTACAGTGTTGGCGCAGTGTTTGCGAGAAATTGCGAAAATGTGTTTAGTATATGCTCTTCTTGTTTTATCCTGTTCATTTTTGTGTTTAAAAGCTTATTTCTTATGGGGAAATTTTGATCAGAACTCAAACTTTTTAGGATTCGAACCCGAGTTCTGAACGGATTAAGTTCGAGTTCTGAGGTACCACTGTACCAAGGTCAAAAGTGTTAGCCCTTCCTAGGGGGGTTTGGGGGCATGTTACTCCAAGAAAACCTTTTAAGACTACAGTATAAATTTTGAATTTTTAATTTGTGTCTATGCTTCGATCTGACTGCACTGACATCTGATCTCTCGGTCAGGCTTGTTCTCAACATCATTCAATAAAATATCCCTTTAAAAAAATGCAGAAAAAATACCAAAGGCATGATCTTGGAGTCCTCAATGATATATACGGGCATGACCCGTGTGTTGATTATGTTAATCATGAAAACTTGTGCCACACAAATAAATCCTCATGTAGTGCTGGGCGATAAAACGATCTCGATTTTTATCGATAAAAAATGAGGACGATCACGATGATACACCCAGACTATAAAACTTTATCAACCAAGTTTGCTCCGTTTTAGAGAATGCGCTGAGACAGACAATTCGATGGCCTATCGAGCAGAGGTTTAGTGAACGCCAGCACAACAACCAATCACCGACGATGTAATTTTGCCCATCCTCCCTTAAAGAAGCAATGGGTGTGTTCGACTTGGACTTAGCAGCTGGTCTGCAGCTGACGCGACGTGGAACGTGATCTGCTGGCGGCTGCAGGGGTGGAGTATAAACTGACTGCAGCCAAGTCGGACAACATCAACTCCCCAAAGCCTGCGAGACCTGACTGCAATGGCAGCACTGCCAGAAGGGCGTAGATAAATCTATACAAATATCACCTGCATGCACATTACTTCTTTTACAATAACCAACTCCTGATACAAACTGAAAGCAGTGAATAAAACTATTGGGTATAGTGGCTCTGTGTAAAAAGATAGCTGCCAGGAAAAAGATACATGCATTTAAAGGATTCAAAGTTTTTATTGTCATGTACAGAGTACAATGCAATTCTTACTTGAATGCCTTCTTCAGACTGGACGATTAAACAAATAAAGCAGCGCAACATTGCAGTAACTAACAATAAATAAACCACTAACTTATGTGTACTGTTAGAGCATTTATGTAATTTATTTAAACTTTATTTTACCAGGTAAATGAACTGAAAACCAGTTCTCACTGCTTTTCGGGAGAAATAGCAGATAACGCATTGGAACGTCCTGGGATACAAACGTCATGTGTGTGACTAATGGTGCGTTCGTTTTTCTCTCGGAACTCGGAAATTCCGAGTTGAGTGACATCACGTCCGACAATCTCCCGTTCGAGCTACCCACATCTCGGAACAAACATGGCTGCCTCCATGAACACGTTGCTGTGTGTTGTTGCTTTATATTTTAGCAGATTTGGAGTTTTCCAAATGGAGAAATGGAGATTTTTCCGAGAGACAAACAAGAAACACGAACTAGTCAAACCACATTAAAAGCTTTATAAAATATTTTAGTACATTCATAGCGATATTCTTTTTTCAAACGGCAAACAAACTACAAATAAACCAAGTCGCCATGTTGAAATTACGTCACAGGGGCAACTTGGACAACAAAATCTTTTCCGACTTCAACGTCATAATAGAGGCGTGTTTCCGACGGGAAGTGACGTTATTCATGACGTTTCGTGACATTTTCATCCGAGTTCCGACTTGGAGCGAAATAATCGAATGCACCATAAAATCTTCAGCCAATAAGGGCAAAGTTGTGTCGTCATGGAGGCGGTTCCAGTTTGTGCTGCACGGTCTGTCTCAAGTTATGGAAGGCCAATGGGACCAAAACGTCTTAAAACTTTATGCCTAAAGATGGCCAGAGACGTCAAATTTGCACGCCTTCAGATGTAAAAAATCAACACGTCGATTTTTCACATGCAAAAAATCAACACGTCGATTTTTCACATGCAAAAAATCAACACGTCGATTTTTCACATGCAAAAAATCAACACGTCAATTTTTCACACCTTCAGACGTCAAAAACAGGCGGAATTTTGCAACGTGTGCTGATGTCGACAAAGCGACCCTTTCAAAATAAAAGCACCACCAACTCCTGTCCACAAACGTCCCTCAATTGAGTATTTCCCTCTTTTTAAAATATCCATTCATTATCCATTCATACATGCACACTGAACATGAAAAACATGGATATACTGGCTTTTTTTGCATACAAACTATCTGCTGTCACACACCTGCCTCAAGGACTTTTGTCCATTAGACAAACAATTGCACATACTTGTAACTGCCATCCAGTGACTACATTCAACATATTTATTCAGCTATCCCAGCACTGCGGGTATTTAATGGTGTCTATATTGAAGTCTTATTATCTATGTATAAATGGCTTTATACATACAAGTTGTTGAGACCTGCGCGAACGAAGGAGCAGGGAGCGGAGAATCAGACTAAGGAAGCCGTGACGGGTAAACCGGGTTTATTAAAGCAGACAGGGAGCAGCACAGGACGAACGTTAATGACAGACCTGGGGAAAACGGACTCAGTCGCAGACTAAATACACAGGACAAGGCGAAAATAACAGGCAACAGGTGATCACAATCAGGAATTAACACGAGGTAAGGAGGGGGCGTGGCACACACGAGGATCGTACAAGTCACCAAACACAAGGACAGATCATAAGATATTAGTTATTATTATTATTTTAATTCTTGTAATATACAGCTGTTACTTTTTCTCATCATTCGTCGTCCCACAGACATTATTTTAAAGTGAGTCAACATGAAAATGTTGTAGCAAAAATTACTGCATTTTAAAAAATTTACATGTTAAAATGATGGCAGCATATTGTGCCTCTGACTACCATTTCGGGCATCAGTGAAAATGGTCGATTGTGCAGAAAAACTGCAACACGCAAATACATCATCCATGCAATGTCTGATCAGCTCCCCTGATGAAGAAATCTGTCACATTAGTGCTTCATTCATCGAAATCGTTATCGGCATTTTACGTTATTCTAGGCTCGTTTTCACTTTAAGTTGTACATTTGAAGTTGTAAAACCAACATAATAAAGGCAGAATCACCTTGTGCTCTAATTTTAATAATCGAAAAGAGGAAATACGTTAAGTGTATGTCCTCATTTAAAAAGAGAGAAATTCTACCTGTTTTTGACGTCTGAAGGTGTAAAAAAGTATGTCTTTAGGCGTGAAAAATCGACATGTTGATTTTTTGCATGTGAAAAATCAACGTGCTGATTTTTTTACGTCTAAAGGCGTGCAAATTTGACGTCTCTAGCCGTTAATATTTGACGTCTTTAGGCGTGAAGTTTTAAGACGTTTTGGCCCCGTTGGCCTTCCATATTAAGTCGTCTTGCTCTCGCGAGGATTTTGTACCATGTGACATTGTGACGCGTGGTGACGTTTTGCAGCGCCGGACAAAAAAGTCTAACCATGATTTGGCATTTTTATGAATAAGTGTTTTTTGTTTGGTTTAGATACTTTTCTACCTCATAATTTTTAAAAGTTTTTAAGAGACCAAGAATAGAGGAAGATACTTGTTGCTGTCCTGCTTTATTTTATGTTTGCCCTTTAACATATTTGCAATATTATACAGTTTTGCACATTGTTACATTATTATATGGTTTTGTTCATTTGAGCTATATTTCTTTAAATACTTGAAAATCAATAACCTTATATAATTTTAAGGGAATTTTGTATGTAAACAGTAAAATTTGTTTGGAAAATAAGTATTTGTTTACTAATATTGTTTATTTCAATGTATTCATTTTATTTGTCAGAATAGGGTTATTTTTATTATTATTTTGATTATTACATTATTACATGGAACAGCATTGTAAAACTATAACATTGATAATTATCAATATTGGTCAATACAGGAAAAAATATCGTGATTTTTTTTGCCATATCGCCCAGCTCTATCCTCATGAAACAGTCTTTTGAGACCTTAGATTTTATCATGATAACATGGGTCACCCTTACCCTTTGCATAATCTCCCGCTCCACAATGCTGTCCTGAATGGAGAACATCTCTGAGACAGGCCTCTCTTTGCCCACCTTCTTCTTGACCCTCTCCTTTAAGCTCGCCAGGTTCGGCTCCGAGACGGACGGCCCAAGCGTGGATCCTATGAGCTGGGTTTCTGAGCGCATCAGATCACCGACTCGGTTCTGGCCTTCACTCTTATGTACCACAGCCTCGTTACTGGTGACCCTCCCAAGCCCTGGATACTCAGGTGGGGGCTTGTTTGGGATTCTGGCAAGAGCTGCCCTCAGCTGTGGACTGATGGATCGCTGCCTGAATCTCAGAGCCTGAAGACCAGGGTCAAGTATCTCCTCCTCTTCACTCCCGCTACTGTGGATGAGTACGGTGGCGTTAGACGGGTTCCTCACATGCTGGTAGGAGAAAACGTTCTCTGTGGGTTTCTGGACAGGCATCTCAGAGGTAAGGGAAGCCAGTTGATCTCTAAGAGTGCTCCTCTGCAGCAGTGGGGCATTGAGTACCTTAAGCGTCATGGCCTCCATCCCCTGCACCATGCTGCTCATGACTTCCAGGCTTTGGCAGTGCTTGAAGGCCACCTGGTGCTGTGTAGCTCTCAAGCTTTCCTTGGGAGGGTGGTGGACTATGGTAGATCTGTCTGGGTGGAAGTTCTTTACAGACGGCTGCACCTTTCTCGAGACCAGCTCTGGGCTGCTGCCTCCCGTACGCCTGAGATGGGGACTCATCAAGTCGGGGGAGCTTGCGGCAGGGCGGAAGCAGGGGTAAGAGGGCAGCGGGCCAGACAGGGGGCCTCTTGGCACGTGGGTGGTGCTATTGCACTGTGTACTCTGTGGTCTTACGTGGGCCAGTTCTGGGGTGCTCACTGTCTGCACGATGGTGCTGCCCTCAGCTGGATTAGTTGTGTAACTACGCCCAAGGTTCTCATGGGTAGCCGTAGTCACAGGCATGCTGTATCTAACCTGAGGGTTATGAGAACTGGGGTATGGGGCGACCCGTTCCCTCATCTCTGGCTGGCCGTACAGGGACTGGCCATGGCGAGCCTTGGCCGCCACAATCAGCTTCTGCTGCATGACGCTCTCGTAGTCGGGGGTGTGGCGGTAAGAAGGTGCGGTGCCTGGGTGGCGGCGGCTAAGGGAGTATTCAGGAGGTGAGATGTCGATGCTCTGGACGCTGAGGGTGGAGGATACCGGGGAGGTTTGGATGATGGTCTGCGAGCGGCTGAGGGAGGTCGTACTGGGCGCGCTGTACAAGCTGCCATCATGAGTCATGCCATTCAGAAAGTTGGACTCGGATTCATAATAGGGACCATCAGTACTGTCTTTTAGAGAGACAGAAGAAGATCAAAAGGCCATGTACAATTATTACACATTTAAATAGCCAATAGGCCTATGAAGAATACAAACATTTATTTTTCCCTCCGAATAATCTTGTACCAATTTTCTTTTGCTAACAACGTTACGTCATAAGCTGTTCTGGAAGGTCACAATAAGTAAATCACCCAAATAAAGAAAATTAAACTTTTAATTATCAGAACATTTATCGCCTCTTAAAAATAAACGTGGTGGGTAGACACCTTTTCTGGCGCCCAAGAGAATCACTTTACAATAAAATAAGGCGTTCAATGTTGTCGGTACCCTGAGAACTCGGAGGGTCTTGGTAAAATCCCCCGCACTGAGAATGCCGAGGCTGGACCATGTAGGATGGAGGTCTTGCCTGACCAGGACAGAAAAAAGGTAAAACCTCTTCAATTAGCAGTTCACCCCTTCAGAGCATGTTAACCACGACTTCAGCAATGACACAAAATTATACAGAGACAAACAATGGTTTGTTTGTTTTTTACTGTCTGCAAAAACTGGTCACTAAGAATATGGTATCCATACTATATAAAGCCTATGAGTCTTGGGATCATGCAGTAACTACAGTAATAGTCTTTTTTTTTCTTGCAAGAACAATGTCACATTACTGCTTCTCTCTCCTTTGACTCTGAATCCCATTACACACTAACTAACATGCAGCATATTAGTTTAATAATAAGCATCTTAAAAGCCCCCGCACCAGAGATTTGATAAGATGGTCAGTAATCTCAGTGTCTCACCATAGTGGACCAATCGCATATGGTACGTTTCCGGATCTGCAGCGGTGAGCGTGATAAGCTGCAAGAATGAGAGGCCACCAGGTGAGTCTCGGCAAGGAAAAACAGCATACGCAAACAATTCATATGTCATTCCCAAATACAAATAACCAGGAGTCTAGCATGAACTTTTCTGAAGAGAGATGCTACAGAATGTCAATGAAGGGGTGTTAGCTAGACGACCCTAAAGAGATGGTACGTGTTAAAACATTTAACCTCACTTTGCTTTAGATAAGCCATGCTTGGGAATTGTCTGAGGTCAAAAAATGTTTCAAATTACAGTCGGCGGTAAAGTAACAAAGATATAAATGGAAGAATAAAGTTAAAAGCCCCCCCCCCATGAGGCTGGAAGATGAAACATTCAGGCAAAGCCTGAAGATGTGTATTCTCCTCACGTCTCCACAGGGGGCAGCGTGACCCACAAACTTGCATTAGGCTTACAAACTTAAAATATCCCTGGCATCAAAAACACACTTTAAATTGACACAATAACCCGCGATTGTTGCACTCAGGAATGGTCAGTAAGAAAACATCTTACTTTAAACTTATTTTGTTCTGCTCATAGAATTTATGCTTGGCGGTGAACAGTCTTGCAATGTATTTGGAGTTTTCCATATCATCCTAAAAGCAAAATTAAAACTATGATTAATTTCAAAACTGCAGAAGACTATTATTCTTTTTTTGTTTATGAAATATTTTTTAGAATCAACAGCAGCTGAATAATGAGAATTCACAACACACAGTAGTCCTTGTGTGTCCTTAACATAATTAAGAAATAATATATTCACAAATGTTAGCGTCATAATAATGAGTGACATTTTTTGCGTGCAGCAAGCCCATTGTATTCATCACCGCAAACACTCACCGTGTGGAACGTAATGGTAACATTTTTGCTTATCTCCATGGTGACCGTGGACCTGTTGCGTGAGATGGACTTGATGTCATTCCATCTGAAAACGAGAAAATCAGATATTTCTCAGGATAAAAATTTGGAAACTTCTCTAACTACTTATCCCAGTCAGGGTCATGGGAAGTCTCAGGCAGATCAACACACAAGGCTAAGCTACGCCCTAGACAGGATGCCAGTCTATCATAGGGTACATTATGGGCAGACACGCTTTAATGCACGGGTTTACATGGGCAGAAGCCCAGGGGCCTCCACTAATAAGCCTAAAGTAACCTAGTTTAATTAAATTTTGAGTGTATTTATTTGCCAGTGAGTGATTCAATCAAACCACTGAAGCACACCACCCCCCAGTCAACAGTTTTTGCCACCCCCAGAACAGGCTGAAATTGGCTGGTGAAGTTTGTTTTTTGGGGGGGGGGTGTGATTTGAAAACTGAAATGAACTGATCTATGCAAATCCACACACACACACACACACACAGCATGGAGGTGAGATTCAGAGCTTCAAAAGCTGGAGGCGTTTGGTGACAGTGTTACCCACTGAGCCACATATATAACCATGATGCAATTCTTTATTATTATTTTGTTATCACCTTTCAAACACAAAAATTAAAGCATGGCGATTCTAAGACAGCTTCAAATTATAAATAATCCCCATTTTTTTTTCTTTCAGAAAGGAAACGCGCAGAGTCACATGACATCTGACACATCTTACAGTTACTTTTGCTGCTGCTTCGTTTATTTGTGAAAATTTTGCCGCTTGCATTTTATAACTCTGATATACGACATCATATGATATGGTACAACTTCATCAATAACTATATCAACAGACCTGTGTAGCATCAACGATCTTCCATCTTTGCTCTTAACAAACACACCAATGAAGGAGACACATAGGTAAATGAAATTGGTGTAGCTGTCCTGAAAAAACAAAAGGAGGTGATTTCAAAGGGAGAATATGAAAACAGAACAGTCTTAGCTTTAACTTCCTGTCATGGGCATAGACATTCAAATCAAGAGCTGTTGCCAGCAGGGGTGTGGTCATACATCAGAAGAAAGTGGATGTAGAAAGGGGGCCCAATCAGGCATTACTTCCTGTTTGTATCTCGCTCACATTACCTTGACAGCAAACCTTTCCTGCCCAAAGCCGTCAAGTTTTTCCACTTCCTTAACATACAGAAATGCTGCTTCAGTAGGGGTCAATCCACTTGAGGGGAGAAAAAGATATATAAAAAAGAATTTCTTATACAGTCTTGGCAATACAATGTCCTGTATACAACTGATTTGTATTTTTATTATAGTAAAATTTATTCATGTCTTTACATTTCTGGACTAAGGTAAAAATTAGCTCTAGGGATAACTTTATCATGGTCAATGGAACATGCATGGTCTCCATTAAACAAGCAAACAAACTGAGTGGGTGAAATGGTCATTTTTCCATATGTGAGCTTTCAGCATACAGATCAGCAGCTTACCAGTTCTGCTGGTGCTCCTCACTTACTTTCTGGGTCCACTCCTCCAACACATCCCGGACAACAGTCCAATTCTGCACCACACAGACAGAAAAGAGCACATGAAGATTTTCATCTGAACACCATGACTGACTGAAGTCCGCTGGGCTGATAAGAAAGGGAGGAATCTGTATGAGCAAGGCCGGTCCAACCCTGTTCAGGGCCCTAAGCAAAATTTGATTAATCTAGTTGTCAACTTCCAGTTTTGACAGGCTGATCAAATAGGGAGCCCCCTGGTGGCCGCTGGGCCCTAAGGCCACTTATGCCTTGGGCTGGCCCTGCCTACAAATGACCAGCCACACACTTAAGCTCAGGCAAAACCTCAAGCTGAGGCACTGTCAAACACTAAGGAATAAGAAAGGCACTAGGACACGGCGGCGTGTCTACGGGTGGGCTGGGGTCAGCAATGCCCACCCAGAAGAATCTTCTGCTCATCAAATGCAAAACTAACCACTGTTATAGCTATACCCTAAAATATTTAAATCCTAAATTTATTTAGAATCCTAGAATTAGTTTTTGCTTTTTAATGGAGTAATGGCCCTGAAGCCCCCTACAAAAATGGGATTCTGTAACTGCAATGCCCCCCCCCCACCCCCCAGAATTAAAATATGCTCTTGTTTACATACTGTATTGAGGAAAAGCTAAATTTTTGTTGTTATCTGCCCAAATAATCCAAATGGCCACCTAAAGATGACATCCTAGTAACACCTCTTCTAGAACACATGCCTGCTAGAACCTGACCGTCTCCCTCCGAATCCCTTATGACACACTCTAGCCATGAGGAAAGCCATATCAGGCTTCAATATTATTGGCTAGGCAGGGCTTAATTGTCATCAATCATGACTAATATGGCAATGGGCATGGAACTTTCTGGTAATTCAAGGCGGTGGGCACAGCTAGCCAAAAAGTTAGCTTCAATATTAATCTGCTAATTCCAAAGTTTAATTCGATAAGGAAACACGCCCCTTTTATGACGTTGAAGTCGGAGAAGATTTTGTTGCCCGAGTTGCCCTTGTGACGTAATTTCAACATGGCGACTTGGTTTGTTTGTAGTTTATTTACTGTTCGAAAAAAGAATATCGCTATGAATGTACTAAAATATTTTA